TGACTGGTAATTAATGTGGGTCTGAGATTAAACTCTGAATCAACTAGTAAAAACAGTATTCAAATTTCACCAAAGAAATCTGTTTTGAATCGAATAAGTTTAGAACTGAGAATTCTGTAATTGTTTGCTTCAAAAAGGGTTGTGTTCTATGCAAGTTAGGATTGGTTAACAATGGGTTAAGAATACCCTAGAACTAAGATTGAACCCTAGAACATCCATTAAGAACCTTACAGAGGTCTGGAAAACACCCGAGTCGAAGAAGATGCAGCAGAACGGACAACGGCAACTAAGGGGAGAAGAGTAGGCTCCAAAAAGAGGAGGAGCCGGCTCTTTCTACCTTAGATCCGGCTCCAAAGGAATGTGGAGCCGGCTCTAGCATGCTAGGAGCCGGCTACTTGGTTAATTGAGCAGGCTCTTTATTTTGAATGAGCCTGCTCTCAAATGAACGTACTCAGTTTGGTTTTTGTGCACTATTTGGTCTGTATAGGGTTTTGGAACTTTGTTTAGGCTGTTTTAAATTGTTGATGGGTCTGTAATAAACCTGTTACACTATGGAAAATATTTATCCATGATTAGGTTAAGGATTGGAGCAAATTAAATTTAAGAAATATCGGGAGTTGCTAACTGTTTTGAACATTTAAACCATGTACTGGAACTTGGAATTTTTCTAGCATATATAATTTATTACTGTTTGGTTGTATTTAAACAGAAGTATAAGTATAGTAAACACTTGAAATCATTTATTCTTGATATGAAATAAATTGATAAGTATATTTTGTAAATCCTATCAATTTATGGATTTTATGGAGGACTTGAATGCTATGACTCATATTAGCAATTTTAATGGATGGAATGTGATGTTTAGGTTCTGTAATGATTTTCCTAAAGTCATGTGATATGTATTAAACTGTATTTATGCATAGTCTGGATAATGGTTGATACATAACAGTAATTATCTTAATAATTATGTTGGATGGATAGGATTGTATCTACCGGTATGGGACGGTGACATACTAGGTATGGACTAGTTAAAACACTAAGTTCTACCTAATTTGGATTAAGGTATGGATTAATCATAAAGGTTAAGTCCTTTACCTACATGTGTCATATCAATTGTGAATTGAGTGACCTACTTTTGGTTTCAGGATGGATGTGTTATACATTATATCAAACCACTACAAAGTTGGATGATATTTTGTATTAAGAGGAGTACGGACTTTATATATATATTATATGTGCCATGGTATGAACCTGAGTCTCAGGACCATGCTTAAGGCGCGTATATCGCCTAGGATGGATAACAGGACATAGGTGTTGTTCCCTGGTAGGTCTAGGTACTCATGCCCACCTTAGGGTGCGTATTTGCATGTTGCCTTCTATTCAGGCTAAGATAGACCTACTGGACTAGCGAGCGCCCTATAATGTGTACTATATACATATATGGACTACTATAGATATTGTTGAGTCTTCCTAGGATATATCTGCGTATCGGATTACTGTTTGGATTGTAGTAGATTAGGACTTGCATGTGGGCCTGACCCACTCCTTTATTTTTCAGGTGTTCGTCAGTTCCAGTGTTAGAGCTTGGACGTGCAGAGTAGATACAAATATTCATTCCTCTGATTATGTAGGAATCTTCTTTATGTTAGCTTTGGATTTTATTTCTATTATTTCAGTTTTGGTTTGAGAATTTTAATAAGGGGTCCAATGGATGGATTCCCGAGTTGTAAACTTATGGAGTTTTGGATTATCGGATTTGATTAATTATGACACAAGGATTTTCTTTTAGGTTCTTTCAGCTTATTATATTATTTCGCATTTCACTTTATATTCCGTGTTCGATTTAAAATACCTTAATTGTTTAATATCCCTCGGGTTTGGGCCTGGGCCTAATCAACCCATGTCTCGGATCCAAGGGGTATCACAAAAGACCCTGAGAATGTTGGTCGACTCAAAGGATACCACCACTCCCACCATCAGAGTCGTCCCCCTCCACATACAGCCATGTTTTCCCAGCACCAACTCCCATAGACTCATCCCAATCACCATCAGGATTCCAAATGTCCTTCCCAAGATACCCTTCCACCCCTAACCAAGTCCTATATTCCAACTGCTCCGGATGAGAAATAGAAGCCCCAATAGAATAAGATTTCCAATGATGCCCGATTACCCCACAAGCAAAACAAAAAGACGGGAGCTTTTCATAATGGACTTAAACCCAAACATCCGTATCCGACGGCCCCAACAGGCATATGTTTTGCCTAAGAGGTTTGGTCATATCCAACTCCACCTTAAGGCGAAGAACCCGACTATCAACTAACATAGTTTCTTTACTTTCCGTCATACACTTTGTCTCGGAGCTCTACCTGCAAACACCTTCCAAAAGCATCAGCAATATGACATCCAACTTTTTCAGACAATGAATTAGCAGGGACATCCAACAGCTGAAGCCAGAATGGCGAGGACTAAAACGATAAATCAGATAAAAGCAAACCCTTCTGCCACTCTTTAAGCACAAACAAATGCCTATCAAACAACCATGGGCAACCTTGAATAATCCGAGCATGAATCGATTGATCCAGAATGATAGGTTGGAACATATTGCTCGCAACTTTGTAAACAAGCAGTTGCGTGGACAAAGACTCCCGCTATTTTTCTTTGGGCCACAGTTCCTGGAACAACCTACCAAATGTATACTTGGCACCTACCAAAGTGATAGTCTTCAAAGCCCAAATTTTACCAAACAAACTATTATGACACACAGTCATACCCTGGGCAGTATCATCAGTTGATAAGAGCACAGGTTCCTTCTCCTTTCGCGTGAGCGTAAGCCCACATATTTGATCAATCAAAGTAGCCTCCATAACCCCAAGGAAAGCATAAGAGAAAACCAGAGAACACAACAACACACCCAACCTTCTTTTACGAAGCAAAGGATTTACAAAGGAAAGTCCAAGAAGGCAAAAGAAAGAACCATAGTTATATAACCCGAAAATAGAACATATAAGAAACAAATAACTTACTAGAAAAAGATATAACATGATCTAGACAAGACCACGAGTCAATAAGCCCCGATCCCAAGACAAAACGATGACATCACAAAAGAAAGCGCCGAGAACAAGCAGCGCAATCCAAACCACAGAATGGCAAATGAACAGATAGAAGCCCACGTGGAACACCTGATTAATAGAAAAAATGAGAGGTTCAGGCGTAGGGGAAAATACAAACCACACGTGAGACTTTAACCAGGAGCACGAGTTCCTAGGAAACCCTATTGCCGGCCAAGTAGAACCAACAACAGAGAAATCCAATTGAGAAACCCAAAGCATAGCCATCATGGCCAAAAACCCTCCAAAAATCGGCAAACACGGATCCAACCGGAATCGGCAACAGCGAAGAACCATAATACCCGGCCATAACCACTGTTGGGAAGAAATCAACAACAACAGAGAACACAATTTCCTTTAAAACCCAACCGCCGGCTAAGAAGCACCAACAACAAAAAAGGCCATCCAAGAGGCCCAAAACATAACCATAATGGCCGGAACTCTTATAGAGATCGGTGAACACGGATCCAACCAGATTGGACAACCGAGAAGAACCCCCATACCCAACCGCAACCATCGTCGGCAAGAAACCGACCAAACAAAAGGCAAGAAAAAAATGTCCCAACGGAATATAAAACCAAAGATCGGACATCGGCATCACACTCCACCACAACCAGATGAAAATAACCCCATGACCTAAACGCAGATGTAACCACGAATAACCATTAACATTGAACATAGTAAACAATGGAAAAAGCGTAGAAGAAAATAAGGAGAAGGATAAGAAAGGAGGACAAAGAAAACAACCAGATTAAACTCTGATCGCACAGAGAACTCAGTCAAACCGAGCAAACTTTGATCACACAGAGAAAAAAAAACATTAAAGAGACAAAACCTTTTGGTAAATGGTTGTTGAAAGGGTAGTTATTGTTCTTGGACTTCCTCTCTCTCTCTCTCTCCTTGTTCACACCACCAGTTCAAACCTAATTGGGGTTTATAAAACTTAATTAGGATTAATTAACCCTAATCCAACAAAAACTACATCAATTAATCCTAATTTGAGTTAATTAACACTCAAATAACCCAAATCAGGGTTAATTGATACAACTTTTGCTGGATTAGGGTTAATTAACCCTAATTTAGGGTTGATTGGACTACAGTTTAATGAAGGTAAGTGGATGGACTGATAGACTATGTTGATCTGTAGAGAAGAGAGGTAGACAGAAGAGATACAAAAAATATATTAGAGGATAGAGAAAGAGTATACCAAAGGGAGAGAGAAAGAGTGTGTGTAATAATGAGGGGTATAAGAGTCATTTAAGTAATATGATATTTTGGAATAAGCTAATTTAAAAAATTAAGGGTAAAGTTGTCTTTTTCTATGCTATTAACGGAGCCTGTGACAGAAAATTAAAATAGACTCAAGTGATAATTATTTTCGAAAAATGTTTGAGGTTCATATTTGGCCAAACTTGAGACAGTATTAGTGAAATTAAACTTTAAAAAAATGTTTCAAATTAGAAAAAATATAATAATTAATTTAAAAATATCATTTAATAATTTTCAATGTTTTTATTGTTCATCCTTACAACACCAGTTGTTACTTAAACAGATATCAAAATTGATTTTTAATTTTTAGCTCCTATTTACGAAATATTTAGATTCTGTATAAAATAGAGTACATTTTTTTTTACCAAACACGCTTTGATAAAAAAAACACTGCTATGGTAACAATTCTTTTGATAAAAAGAATTGTTTATGTTTTTTTTTCACTGTATTTCTATTCTCTAAAGCAAAGCTTGAAGATTCACAGAGAGATGTGAAGCATGAATTACCCCTTGGCTTTTAAACAAATTACACCCACTTATCAATTGCTACTAGCTTACTACTGAAACTGCATATATTATTACAGACTTACTCTGTTCTTGCTTGTAGGAGCCTTGAAAAAAACAGAGGTAAAAAAAGCTCGGATCCCAAAACGTATCTCTGTGATCTGTTACATCTGTACATAAAAATTGAACACAAAACGAAAGATGCCCAAATCCAGACTGTAAAATTTCATGGATTCAACATCGCAACGCCGCCTCATAGCAATTCAAAACCATCTCATCTCCACCGCCGGCAACCAACTGCCTCTTCTCCGAATCAACGATACCACTGGCCACTTCTTTATCGGTACTCTCTCTATATATATTGTATCTGACGTTCTATATATATATTATTTACATACCCACACATGGCCACATGGGTCATAGTCTGCTATTCTTATGAGTAGAAAAATTGATGAAAAAGGAAAAAATTGACAGTAGAGTTTTGAATTGCATTGAGAGAATGCAAAGAAATGGGGGTGGGTGGAGATGAAGAGGTGGATGAGCTTTAGGGACTTTTTTGGAATTGGGAAAGGGTAATTAAGGACTTTTAGGGGTCAAATATGGCATGTGCACACACGTCTTCCCCAACGGTATTTTGTTAACGGCAGGCTCACGGCGAGCCCTAATTTGCAACACTTGAAAAAATAACAGGACTTGTACACGCAAAAAATGAACCATAAGGGAGTTGTGTGCAGAAAAACTATAATACTAGAGTCGTTTTGTAATTTTGAGGTTTTTGTGACTCCAGTATCCGGAGTCAAACCCTTGACACACAGAAGCCAGAGAGATTAGATACATGAAATGAAAAACCCTCTCTTCTGCTGAAAAACCTCCATTTTCTCTCTCTAGAAAGCTCCACGAAAATGGAACTTTCGCAATCACAGAGGGTGGACATGATGGTCGGCATAGCATTCGCTCTCGTCGCTATTGGTGCCGGCACTGCCTATTACTACTATATCTCAAATAAGAAACCCAAAGGTCCGACATATTTCCCCACTCTCTCTCTATGTGTGTGTATATATCTATACATCGATACGTGTGTGTATATATATGTGTGTGCGCCTCGTATGTATTCTCTTTGTTAGTTGGTGAAGGTTTGATTATCTGATCCGAGTATTAGTCCGCTTATGTTACCATTATGTTTGTAATATTTGTTTTGAGCATTTTGAGCTTCATTTTTGCAATCTGTTTCTCTTGCTTCTTCTTGAGATTGCTGTATTTCTGAAAATCTATTTTATTATCTTATTTAATTTTTTCATTGGAGTTCTTAACATAGCACTAGGGCAATTTGTGTAGTTCCCTATAAATAGCATACAGCTCCAAATTTAATTACATTTGAGTGGAAGTCTGGAATATAGTCCTATATCTTATCTAACATATCCCAACTCGTCTCACCTCAAAATGATTTATCTATAAATAGTTAAATATGTTAAAGTCCATTGATTCAATCTTTCATATGGAATATAGTCCTATAAGTCTAAACCCACAATCATTCATAAGTAAGTCTATAAATTTCATAAAATATCACGAATACTGAAATCCAGAATCAAATATCCAAACTAAGTTGATTACATAGCTATTCAGCAAAAAAAAAAAACGAAAAAGTTTTTTACATAGCAAAAGAAATAGAGTGGCATTCCATGAATTTGTTACTATCTTTCTAAAAACTATACTAATACTGCTATCATGCAAGCCATGTTTTGTCGTGTCATGAGAGCCCCTCATTCATGCTCTAATATTCCTATTATCCAACTAATCTTTGGAAAAAAATTGTAAGGATGGAGGGTGAGCTTCACAGACCAGTAAAAAACAATTCGTCCCAATATTCTTACAAGGTTTTATGAGAAAGTTAGAAAATGGTTTTTTTTATTTATTTTGTATAGCTTTGAAAAGCAAATCATCTTTTTTTCAAAGCTTCAAACGTGAAAATTATAGAACCATTGAATATCCAGTCAGTTGGTTTCATCTGATCAAAACTATTTTGTCCACCAAACTAGCCGTTCTCATACATGTCACATGGTACCCCAGATGGTCATTGGAACTTGGAGGCATCTTTTTTAAGAACTCCAAGTTATTTGTTGAGCGTTGCACATAACAGATGCTTTCGATCATTCATCCTCTTGCTATAACTCAATCTGCTATCATGAACCCTGTTTCAAATTAACACACAGAAGTCTGGAATGTAAGGTCCTATCTTTCCACTCACTCTATAGGCATAATCTCTCTCTCTCTCTTCCTTCCCCCCCCCCCCCCCCCCCCCTCCCCCCTCTCTCGCTCTCTCTCACCTCCACCTCTTATTTCATCATCTTCAGTCAGAACGACATGTACAAATCATCATACCTGCAGCTATCACAAAGAATCTATTAACGGTTTCAGTAACTGATTCTAGTCATTTTTTTATTATTATTATTTATTTTTGGATAAGAAAAAAATATATTAGAAAGCGTTCTAAGGGGGAACGCATCCTAAAAGCTATACAAGGGTCAAAGCCAAGAAAGAGGTCCTAAGGACCCAAAGAACCCAAAAAATCTTCGATTTCCTCTATAGATATACAATTTCTCCCCATCACCCAACTAAAAAGAGAACAAATAATAACATATTTCAAGGCCACAACAGAAGATCTTTCCTTTCAAAATATCTACAATTCCGCTCCTTCTAAATGCACCACCAAATGCATAGAGGGGTCGCCTCTCCAACAATCATGGGCGTTGGCCCCAACGCTAGATCCACGTCAATCAATTCCCTCGCAGATCGAGGCATGACCTATTGGACACCAAACAAACCAAAAATAAGGCTCCAACGATCGTGAGCCACGGGGCAATGCAGAAGAAGGTGATTCATGGATTCTCCATCATTTTTACACAAACACCAATTAACAGTAATATGTCTTTTCTTTCTAAGATTGTCCATGGTCAATATTTTCCCCCAAACTGCCATCCTCTCAAAAAATGCCACTTTGAGAGGGGCCTTAGATCGCCACACCGTCTTCCACGGGAATATAGAACCATAAGTCTCAGAGAGACAGAGAAACCACGAACGGACCTCGAACCTCCCCCGAGGGGAGGGCACCCAAAATAAGGAATTAGAGCCTCTACCATCCACCTTCTGCCTATACAAGAGATCCAGCAAACCAGAAACATCGTCCACCTCCCAGTCCTGAAACGATCGCCGAAAACGTACGTCTCACAAAAACCTACCGCTTTCAAGCCGATAACAGTCGAACACCATGGCATGTCTATCGACGGCAATCTTGATAAGTCTGGGAAACAAACAAGACAACAGGCGATCCCCGCACCATAAATCTTCTCAAAACCGAAAATCATCCTCGCCCTCCCAAACTCTGAATCTAATGTGCTTAGAAAACTCGTCCCAACCCTTCTGAATAGGCTTTCACACTCCAACACCAGTAGCAAATCTAACCGGTCCAAAGGACCACACTCCTGCCTCCTCCCCAAAGCGGCACGTGATCATCCTTCTCCACTGACGACGTCGTTCGCTACCAAATCTCCACAGCCACTTTCCAAGGAGAGCCCTGTTGAAAGTGACCAACCTCCTAATGCCAAGACCACCTAACGGAATAGGCCCGCGCACTTGCTCCCAATGGACAAGATGATACTTGAACTCCTCTCCCCAGCCACCCCACAGGAAATTCCGTTGAAGAGTCTCAATCCTTCTAGCTACAGAAGAGGGAATCTGGAAGAGAGAAAGGAAATAAGTTGAAAGGCTCGACAATGTATTCTTCGTGAGAGTAACCTTCCCGCCCTTTGAAAGATACTGTTTCTTCCACTCAGCCAGTCTTCTGTCAAACTGTTCGATCACCGAATCCCAACCTCCCACCCTCCTCGACAAGGCGCCCAAAAACAAACCCAGATAAGAAATAGGGAAGGAGCTCGTCCCACATCCAAGAACCACAACAAGAGAACTTGAGACCTTGACCTAGAACTTGAGAATTAAGACCCAAAGCCACTAGGACAAAGGTAGACCAGTGATTCCAGTCATTCATTAACCAATACTCTTAATATTGCTACCATGACTTTTTTTTTCCTTTCATGTTGATCTGTTTTCTTCTTGGCTGTATTCACCTTTTTTTCTATAGAAAAAAGAAGGCAACCAGTCATAGAATTTTCTGTTTTTTTGTTTATTTGCATTGGAAGATTGGGCGGCCTCATTGTCTCATATCAATGGACACATTTACATCTTTTGGTAGGTTGTTTGGACCCTGAAAACTTCAAGGAATTCAAACTTGTTAAACGCACCGAGCTCAGCCATAATGTGGCCTTGTTTAGATTTGCATTGCCTACACCAAGTTCAGTGTTGGGACTTCCAATCGGACAACATATGAGTTGCAGGTATATTTTAGTACTCCAGCTTGTATTTGCACATTGCTAGTGTCCAATTCGCATATTTGTTAAAAAAAAATTACAATAATGGTTTGAGTTAAGGTTAAACATGAAATTTATCATTCTCAATTTCATTTCTTTTTAGAGGAAAAGATAGTCAGGGTGAACAAGTTATCAAACCGTATACTCCGACCACTTTAGATTCAGATGTTGGATACTTTGAACTAGTTATAAAGGTACTTCCATTCTGGAACTTTCCATTGATTAATTAAATTATGTACTGATTTAGCTTTTATCTTGTTGTTTTCTCATTGGATTGGTTTTGTGTCGTCAAATCCTTATATAAAGTAGATGTATCCACAAGGAAGGATGTCCCACCATTTCAGAGAAATGCGTGAAGGCGATTACCTGGCTGTGAAGGGACCCAAGGTAACTTGTAAGATATTTACAGGCTGTTTACTTTGTTGGTTTCCGTTTGTGCATGGTGCTATGTTGAAACAGGGATTTTTGTGGCTCACATAATGGGAGTGAGAACTTAGTACCTGCACATATGTGTAATATGATAGGGATAAGATTATATAGATGAATTGGTGGATCTGATGCAGTGGTTCTAGGGATAAGCTTATACATATGACAGGTGGAACTTGATGAGTTAGTTCTTGTAACAAGAGTGCTCTCCTTTCAGCAAGGAATTGAATAATGAAATCATGAAGAATAAGTTGCCCATTTACTTAATGAAATTCGTTATATTGGAATAGAACATGTAGAGAATTGAGCAATGTTTCCTACTTATGTGGAGCTCTTGACGTGCTATGGTACTTGTTCTTTTAAATCTTGTAATAGGAAAACAAGGGGAGAAATACGAAGGAAATTCGGGATCATAGATTTTAGTGTTCGCAAATGGCGGTGTTCCATGTGCTGAATATGCATTCTGTGACTTGATCAAAGTGGTATTTGGTTTTTCTGGAAATTGTTGAACTGTATTACCTCCTAAAGTTGGTGTTGTTTGTGTGTTAAGTAATTTGGAATTTTAACTCTTATGATTCATACTATAGCTGATTGTGAATGAATTAGTAATTGATTGCCAGACATTTCTTGCTTAGATACTCTTGTAAAAGTTGTCTGTCTTTTGAAATTCTGTAAAATCAAATTCACTTTGAAGTTCTAATGCATTTTAGTACTTCCTATTGCAAGGTTGTGTTTGTGATCTATAGATGTGAGAATGTTATGTCAAGTATGGCCATTTAGACTATAGATAGTAATGTTTTGTTGGCTTATTTAGATAGAGTTGTTTCACGAGTTTAAGATAATCTCTTGTATGAGAGAGATGCATATATGTGTACACAAACACTAGTTTGCCACATATTCATTCTATGTTAACTTTTCAGCCACCATTACAAGTATCTTCAATTTTCCAACCATTGGTACAATGATCACTACTGCAGGTGATAATGATGTTACCATAATAACAGTCAACTCAAGGATCCACCAGGATATAAACGTTAGTGATGTACTTATCAGAAAATAATAATAACAAATAATAAATGTGACTACTGTGTGGCAACATTTGCATTGCTCTCCAATTTAAGGTATTGCAAAATGCTGATACTCTTGCATCTACTATCAAGTTCGATTGACTGAAATGCAGTGAAAATTCCCCATACTAAATTCAGCTCTCTGAAAAATTTCTATTTGCTTCACTATTTGTTTTTAAGTAAGTTTCGGGGAAACATCATAGAAGAAAGATTTTCTAAAAACACCATAAAAAGGAAGAACTGATACGAGTTGGGAAAGGGCGATAACACATCAAGAGCCTAATGTATATACTATATAGGAAGCAAGTATGGTTTCACATCTATCTTACCATTTGACCCATACATATCATGGGATTAAAAGGTTGATAAAGGTGTCTATAAGAAAATGTGTTTTAGCAGTGATTGTTGATGTTTCTTATTTTTATTTTTATTTTTTTATATCACTTCTGTGGAATAGCTTTGAAGCTTTGCATCCCAAGGCGATGGCTCGTGGAAGAGATTTGCGTTTCAGAGAAATAGACTTAAATAGGAAATCATGGATTATGATGGTTTAGGGTACTTGTGGAGTGAGGCTCTAGAAGGTAATCCTTGTGAAGCTGTGGAGTTTGATAAATGAGGCAGGGTTTAAAGTGGATGAGGGAGCAGAAGTAAAATTTGGAAAGACATTTGGGTTATGAGGTTTCATTAGTGGATGGCTGGAGGCTTTCTGAGATTTTGATTAACAAAGAAGAGCTGGTGAAATATTTTGTGGTCTGGAAGGGGAATAATATGCATTTGAATGTGGTTTCTTGAGGGGAACTTATGCTACCGGACAGAAAGAAAAAGTGGCCTAAAATTGTTCTCAGGAGCTAATAATGATATTATAATTTTTAAAGAATGAAAAACAATGTTATTTCTCTCTCTCTCTCTCTCTCTCTATATATATATATATATATATATATATATATAGGAAAATGGTACTGAAAACTCTTATATATCATATAGTTAGTGCCAACAGCTATCTGGCTTGAGTGGTACTGTTTCCACTCTATTAGAGGGAAATGCATGGTTGACAGAGATATGGAGTCTTTGTGCTGTACTCATCGTATTTTTTATTTGTAAAAACTGTTGTTTGGTTTTGTAGAAGCATAAATTGCTTATGTTTTGATTACATTTGAGGAAGCCATTTTTATTAGTTTTTTTAAATGTTTTAGAATTTTGATTTTTTTATCATTTTATTGCTGATATTTTTAAATGTTTGATTAAATATAAACTATTAAATAATTAAAAATAATAATTATTTTTTTTGAAGGAAAAATGCCAATATCTAAAAGAACAAATATCGAATTATTTAGTTATAAAGCTCATTTTGGGTGAGAAACCTAGTTTCATTGACAATCCAATGAGTTAACATAATATCTTAAGAATTATTTTATGATCATAATCTTTTCTTGTCTTTTTCTTAGTTGGTACTCACACACACGTCTATACTGAGACTTGAACCCTTGACCTCCCTTTGGAAAGTAAGAGCCTGATACCGCTAGACCACTGGCCGTTGGTATGATGATTATGATCATAATCTCAAGCGAGAAAACATTATGTTTGTGAAAAAACATAGACTAAAAAGCATGTAAAAAGAAAATGGAGTGTGGTCCCTTTTGATCAAAATTGCAGGGAGAGAACTTAACTTCTGAATTTATTTGTACATAGTAGCTGCCCTTGGACTGGACCTGCTTTCTCACACTTGGCTATTGAGGTTTACAAATGTGCCAAGCAATGATGCCTAGCTTTACCACTGTGCCAAGCAATGATGCCTAACTTACACTGAAAAGTAGTATGAAAATTTAAGTAATTATGCAAACATATGCTAGAAAAGAACATTATCATGGCAATGTTTCCTTAAGATGACTGATAATATAATTTTCAGAATAAAAAAAATGGAAAGCCCATGTGAAATAAATAAAAAACAACCTCGTAACAAACCTTGAAAAGAGCACACACAAACAGTTAGTATTTGAAACTAATGCCACTTATAAGATGTAAGATTGTCATGATATATTCCTTTTCAGGTAAATCCACCAAAAAGGGAAGAACAAAAGAAAAAAAGGCCCCTAAATTTGAAAGACAAGTTTAAGGCCTCAGCGAGAGCCAAGACGATATGGAGATACAATTTAATTGCAAGAGTCAGATACATGGAGCCATTTAAGTTATGAAAGATCAGAATGAGTGAGACATATTGGGAGTATGCAAAATTCTATTTTTAGTAAAATATTTTCACATAAGAATCTTTGAGTGAGTTGTCAGGAAGATCATTATCGCCTCATGGAAGATCTTTTAATGATGTGTGTATCTTAAAAGGGGACTCTAAAACTGCACAGAACTGGAAGGTTCCTTCTAAGAGAGGTGGGGGTTTAAAATTGCCTGGCTCGTAGAGAAGAACAGTTGTAGCATGAAAAATAGGTCATAAGTAGGAGAAAGGATTTCATGGCTACAAATTTGGTATTTCATATAGAATTTATATCGTCATCATCATCATCGTCCTTGCCTTTGTGCCATATTGATGGGATCGGCCACATGAATTCTCTTTTTCCATTCTTTCCTATTATACACTATGTCTTCTCTTAAATTTAATTTTTTGAATTTGTTTTAGTTACTTCATCCCACGTAAGCTTTGGTCGGCCTCTTTGTCGCTTACCATCTAGGCAAACAACTCTTCCTCTTTCATATAGAACTTATATAGGTTCCCAAAATTAGAAATAGTGTACTCTAGTGACAATTTATTAATTCACATCCATTACCTGAGTTGACCTTTCTTGCTTTTGAAAGTACTTTGTCATAATTCACATATACCAAAAAAGTGTAGCCCGAAAAAAATAATAATAATAAAAAATAAAATAACTGAAGAAGAAGAAGAAGATAAACCTACCTTTTCCCCCATTTTACCACGTGAGTATCTATAGTTTATGTGAGCTTGTTCTGTATCATGGCAATTCATTTCATGGTAACATAGCTTCCATCTCTGGCATAGCTTATTATTTCACAGTTATTTCTCATCTTGCATCATCTTCGGTACTTTTTTTTTTTTCCTTTTGCTTAGTCCCCTCCCCTATGGCATACATCTATAAATTGAAAGCTAGGTGTATTTTATACTTGTACACATCCAACAATATCCAAGTTTTGATTTCACACAGTATAGTATTAACATGTTGTAACAGTAAGTGTATTATTTAGAAAGTTCGTTGGACTCATGTGTTAGCAATTTATTTGATTTTGAATATTTTAAGACATTAAGAAAAGCACACATGGTAATTAATTTCTTTTCTTTAGCTAAAGGGGTTGTTGGAAGTCAAGCCTTTTCACCATCCTATTCCCCAAAATATATATTTTCCAATCTATAGCCAAACTTATGTTTCTGTAGTTGATGACGTATGGTGTTGGTACCAGGGGAAATTTAAGTATCAACCTGGCCAAGTAAGGGCTTTTGGGATGCTTGCTGGAGGCACTGGCATTACTCCAATGTTCCAGGTATGTACCTTAATGGCGGGAAAGCTGGAGGCTAACCTATAGTTTGGATCTTGTTCTTTCTGTCATGCAAATTTTTGTTTGTGTGTGGTGGGGGGGAATATCATCCAGAGTTTTTATTTATTTATTTATTTATTAATTTTGTAATTGCTTATGTTTCTCTTCTTTTGCTTTAGGTTACTAGAGCCATACTTGAAAATCCAAATGACAAAACCAATATTCATCTAATTTATGCCAATGTCACTAACGAAGACATTCTTTTGAAGGTAAATCTCTCTCTCTCTCTCTCTCTCTCTCACGCGCGCGCACGCACACCTCAGACACATATTCCTGAATAAATTGGTACGTTACATAGATACTTTAATGTTGTGTGTAACTTTGGCAGATACAATGTGAATGGATACGAAAATTAATATAGAATATGTTCCAACGTGCCCTCTGCTGGGCAAATATTGATAGACAATGAGAAACAGAGGAATGTCATGAGCAACATGGTGTTCAATAAGATAATTTATACATGTTCTTTCGTTACATGTAACTTTTGAAATGATTTCAACACCCTTGATGGAGATACTATGCTGCATAAACACCTAATTTGATCCAGGCAATAGAGGGAGAAAAATAGGATCATTTTACAATTCCAAGAGTTCACGTGTCCTTAGATGTGGGGTACAAAGTTCACCACCTAGACACACACTGACAGCTTTATTCCCCAGGTATATGCCTTACTTTATACAGTTATATCTGTTATTGAGGGATACAATCTCCAAAACACCAGACAACACTGGGCCATGTTTTTCCAATTGTTCGGATCAGGCCTTCATACAGTTCCCTTGCCTCATTTGCAGCTTCTGCAATGTTCCGGAAGAAAATCATCTGCCAAACATTATGTTCCACTAGTATATAATTAAATGCATCTTCCTGGAATTAAGGCCCATTGACCATCGCCACCAGTTGAGCCTTAATTAAAATAAGATCACTGCACTATCTGGCATAACCTTACCTAAGTAGTTTCTTATATTCATTAGCGTTATACAATGTGATCCACTATGTGCTGGTATATTCTCATAGTCATTTTATCCTATTGAATTCGTTGATTAATCTGGTAAATTTGATTTAATCCTCTTGAATTTGGTGATATTATAAATACTGTTGCCTTTAAGATATAATTAAATCAAGAGTAAGTGATAAAGAAGAAGAAAAAGAGAAGAAAGCGGATGAGAGAAAAATAGAGAGAGATGGGGAAAGAGAGAAAGAATGAAAGAATACTTTCATCCTTCCACCACATTCTATTTATAATAACAAGTTTCAGAAATTACACATAAGCCCCAACATTATATAATTAATAACAAATAAGCCCCTGACAACACTCCCCCTCAAGTTGGTGCAAAGATATCTATCATGCCCAGCTTGGCTAACATATTTTGCAAGCAAGTCTTGCTCACACCCTTAGTCAAAATATCAGCAACCTGATCATGTGTGTTGACGTGTGGTGTACAAATCAGCTCAAGATGAAGCTTTTCCTTGATGAAGTGTCGATCGACTTCAATGTGCTTTGTCCTGTCATGTTGAGCTGGATTGTGGGCAATGCTAATAACAGCCTTGTTGTCATAATGCAACTTCATTGATTTACGGACAGGATAACCCCAACTCGCCCAACATCGTACGTAGCCATAACAACTCATAAACTCGATGTGCCATGGATTTGAACTCTGCATTAGATCTAGTTACTACATGCTGTTTCTTGGTTCACCATGAAACAAGATTACCTCCAACAAATGTGCAATATCCTAAAGTAGATCGTCAATCTGTCATAAACCCTACCCAATCAGCATTAGTATAGGCTTCAACACACAAGTGGCCATGACTGCCAAACAATATCCCCTTACCAGGTGAACCCTTGAGGTAGCAAAGAACATGATAAGCTACCTTAAGGTGAGGTGTACGTGGAGCATGCATAAACTGACTAATCACACTAACAGCGTAGGCAATATCCGGGGCGCGTGAGAGATAAGTAAATCAGTCTCCCAACCAATCCCTGAAATCTTCCCACATCATCTAATGGGTCTCCATCCACGTCATTAAGCCTATGGTTTTGCTCAATGGGAATATGAATAGGTCTAGTTCCAAGCCTTCCTGTTTCAGCCAACAAATCTAACACATACTTCCGTTGAGAAATGAACACCCCTTTCTTCGATCTGTACACCTCGATGCCAAGAAAGTATTTCAATGATTCGAGGTCTTTAACCTCGAACTCTGTCCCCAAGAATGACTTTATTCAACGAATCTCTTCTGGATCATTTCCAGTGATAACAATATCATCAACATATACAATAAGGGCAGTGGTGCATCCCTGGTGCTTCTTAATGAAGAGAGTATGATCTGCCTAACTCTGTGTGTACCCTACTCTTTTCACAGTAGTGCTGAACCTCTCAAACCAAGCACATGGCGACTGCTTTATCCCATATAAGGCTTTATTTAGCTTGCACACTAAATTATGACCATTGGCAAGCTTAAACCCTGGTGGTATGGTCATATACACCTCTTCCTTCAAGTCACCAGGAAAACATTCTTTACATCCAGCTAATGTAAGGGCCAATTCAAATTAGCTGCCAAAGAAAGAAGAGCACGTATAGAGTTCATCTTGGCAAGTGGAGCAAATGTTTCTAGATAATCAATTCCATAGGTCTGAGTGAAGCCCTTTGCAACTAATTGAGCTTTATATCTCTCAATTGTTCCGTCTGCCTGATACTTTGTTGTGTAGATCCATTTGGTTTCTTAACCCTAGGTAATGGAACAATATCCCAAGAACCATTCTTCTCAAGGGCCTTCATTTCTTTAAGCATAGCTTTTTTCCATGGAGTTTGACCGAGAGCATCTGAAACACTAAAAAGAACAGATACAGAGGAGATACACGAAGTGAAAGCACGATATGTTGGAGATAAGGCATCATAGGATACAAATTGAGATATGGGATGTTTTGTACAACTACGAACACCCTTACGATAGGCAATAGGGACATCAAGATCAACAGGAATGCTATTGGGAAAAGAACCAGGAGTATCAATGTCAACTAAGGAATTACCTGGATCGAGGGAGACTTCTTGGTCCTGGGGTGAGTCAATAACTTGTTTTTCCCTCCTAGTGTCGACAATTGGCTGCTTTTCCTGCTGCAAATCATTAGTGTTAGGAGGACTAGACATAGGCACCTCAGTAAGAAGCTCCCCCTGAATGGGAACAGGCAAAGGAAGGGGGCATTCCCTCTGAATGGACAACGGATTCTCTACCTGTAGAGTAGTCTCCCTCTGTAGAGAATCCCGAGCAGTAGAAAAAAAAGGAACAGACTCAAAGAATGTAACATCCATGGAGACAAAGCGACGATGAGTAATAGGGTTATAACACCTTTTTGAGTGGCGGAGTATCCAAGAAAGACACATCGGATTGCCTTAGGGTCCATTTTGTCTTTGCGATGATGAATGTGAACATAACAAACGCAACCAAAGACTTTCGGAGGGATAATAAACAAGGTAGTGTCATGGTGTAAGACATATAAGAGCGATTGATAGCCAAGAACCTTAGAAGGCATGCGATTGATAAGGTATGTAGCTGTTAAGGTTGCATCAACCCAATAACTTTTAGGCACTCCCATCCCAATCAGAAGAGAACGGGTCACCTCTGTAATATGATGTGTTTTCTTTCAGCTACATCATTCTGTTGTGGTGTATCGACACAAGAGGTTTGATGGACAATCCCGTTATTAGCAAAAAAAGGAGGCAAAACCACCATACATAAACTCTCCTCCATTATCAGATCGAATGATTTTGAGGGGACAACCAAACTGAGTACATACCATCCTATGAAATGTTTTAAAAATGGAATGAACTTCATCTTTGGTTTTCATAAGATAAAGCCAAGTATATCGACTAAAGTCATCAACAAACACAACAAACACAACAAAGTAACGAAAACCAAGTAACGAAGTAGTAGATGTCGGACCCCACACACCAAAATGAACAAGCTGCGAAGGAGTTGTACTTTTATTAATACTAGTAGGATAAGAAACACGACATTGTTTGGCAAGAACACATGTTTCACTATTTAACTCGAAAGATTCAACAGAAGCAAACTGGGGAAGCACATGCTTTAAATCAGGAAGAGGTAAATGACCTAGTCTATTATGCCATCACATTAATAGATCTTTATTGACATTACTATTTCTAACACTAGATTGATTTGCAACATAATAAGAAGTTGGCCTCGCGTTCAGCAAATACAAGCCATTGTCCTCACATCCACTTTCAATTGTCTTTCCCGTGTCCAAGTCCTGAAACACACAATGAGATGGAAAAAATGTTACACTACAATTCAAGCCTTTTGTAATGTGATTGACAGAAAGGAGGTTGTTGGTAAACTTTGGGACATGAAGAACAGAGGATAAGGTAAGATTAGGAAAGGCAGAAACAGTGCCCTTCCCCGCAATGGAGGTCAAGGTACCATCAGCCACTCTAACCTTATTCTTACCAGAACATAAACTGTATGAAGAAAAATTTACCAGTCATGTGATCAGTGGCTCTTGAATCAATGATCCAAGGTGGCCCACCAGCTACATACCTTAGTAGATGTCGGAGAGCATCAGGTTCAGCCCTGGACAAAGAACTCGGTGGCCCTAAGGAGGAATGACTAGTAGAAGCAGTCTCACGCTCTGCAGTGCCGTAGATAACCCCTTAAATGGAGTAGGTCTTGGCCTAGCATTCGTATGAGCAGGAGTTGGAGTAGGGCGACCGTGTAGATTCCAACATGTTTCCCTAGTGTGGCATGTACACCCACAACGATCACACTTCAACTTACTCTTGTTATCCTGCTTCCCTCCTTTTGGAGGATTGGGCTTGTTCCATTGTTGTGTGGCAAGAGCAGACCTCTCAGATAATGGTACTTCTGGCTCAGGCTTAGTGTATACAGGTGCAAACATAACCTTCATTCTACTCTCCTCAGTCTGGATATACGAAAACACATCTCTAACAAACGTAGGGGCTGGATACCTGCCTAACACTTGTACCCCGTCATGCTCGTATCTCGGATGCAGACCACCCAAGAACTCATAGATTTAATTCCTTTCTACCATAGCATGAAATGCTTTAACATCAGCTGCACACACAGGTATGTAGTCTTGGTAGTGATCTAACTCTTCCCATTTACCACGTAGAGTGTGGTAATATGTAGCAAGAGTTTGGTCTCCCTGCTTGAATCTTGAAATCTGTTATTGGAGTTTATACAGTTTTGCAAAATTACCAATCGAGGAATGCGTCTCTTCCACATCCGTCCATAGCTCTTTAGCTGTTTTCACAAACAGAAACCCTTTGCTGATCTGTGGTTGCATTGACTACAACAACCACGTCATAACTGGTGCATTATTTGCACTCCACTCTTTGAATTCAGGATCGCTCTTGGAGGGATACGTGACAGTCCCTTCGATATGGTCGATCACCCTACGACCAGTGATATGCATACGAGCAGATTGAGCCCACTCCATATAGTTTGTCTCATCCATCCTTACAGTCATAATACAAAAGCCTGGATGGTGATCACTACTACCTCCCAATACTGGTTTTAGACTAGGAGAAGACTCAGCTTCTTTTGAAGTCACCTCCGAGCCAAACATTTTATCAAACAGTTTCTGGGTGTACAATCCTCAGAAACAAAAGCAGCAACAAAATACGTAAAGAACCACCTCTCTAACACACAAGCATCAACTAGAAAGATTACCGTCTTCTGAGATGCATAAAAAAGCGACCACACAGTCACCACAAAAACCCTAGAAAGCAACAAAGTAGACCATACCAGAATCGCGAATGACGAAGAAAAAGCCGCTGTTGCAGAACCCCGCGAACACAAAAAAATACCAATAGAGACTGCAATAGATAGAAAAGAGGTCCAAAACCCTTCACACCCACTAGGGTTTACACAAACTTGCCCTAGGGTTTCAACTACAGACCTAGAGCTCTGATACGATGTTGACTTTAAGCTATAATCAAATCAAGAGTAAGTGATAAAGAAGAAGAAAAAGAGAAGAAAGCAGATGAGAGAAGAAGAGAGAGAGAGGGGGAAAGAGAGAGAGAATGAAGGAATACTTTCATCCCTTCACCACATTCTATTTATAATAACAAGTTTCAGAAATTACACATAAGCCCCAACATTATATAATTATAACAAATAAGCCCCTGACAGCAAATACTTATATTTGTAATTGCATGCTGCCTTGAACCTTAGTAGTTTCTTATATTCATTATCATTATGCAAGCTCATCCAAGCTGTGCTGGTATATTTTGGATTCTAATTTAATCCTCTTGAATTTGTTGATTAACCTGGTAAATTTGATTTAAAACAGAAATAGCGGAATCAATTGTTCTTTTTAATTAACCTCATAGATTTGTTGATTAATTTTCTGTTGGTGTATGACCTTTCCTTTGTATCTCTGTTTCTTTTTCTTCTTGTTTTTTCCCCTTGGAAGTTAAAGCAAATGCACACACCCACACACATGCCCCCCCCTTGCAGAGCTCGAACCGAGAGATTTCTTCTTAATAAAATCACTCATACCAAAAAACAAACTTGTTTTTAAATTGCCACGAAGCCATTTCTCTTATTTTCATATTTATTCAGCTAACCATTACCTTTTAATAAATAAAATAAACCAATAAACACTCAGCTTTCTCTTTCAGCATGTTTCCTCTTCTTTCCTATTGCTGCATTGCATTTCACACATTGGCTTTTTACAGATGCCAGCTAATACTTAAATACCCTTATAATGATAAAGCGAGTATACTATAGAGGAGTTGCATGGTACGTGTTTGGTGAATTTAGTATTTCTTTGTCCTACCAAAAAGAAAAAGTATTTCTTTAGCAAAACTGCATCTGTCAAGTATCTGTATTTACGTGTATCATTTAATGAGTGATCGTGGTTTGTGTAAAAGACGTGTGCAATTGTGCATGCACTGTGTCGTCCAGAGTGGCTACTAATTACTTCTCAAAATTAGGTTATTCTAGAGCTTGTTACTGGGAAGAATCCTCGAGAATGAGAGATACTAATTAGAATTCTTATTTAAGTTGTCTTTTTTAGTGTGTACATAATGCATTTAAAGTTGCATAGTACTTTTTCTTTCTGTAACTTGATGTTTTCCTTTTCTTTTTCCCCTCTTAAGGAACTTACGGTTGCATGATACTGTTTTCCTTTCTTATTTGCGTCTTTTAGTTTATTTAATTTAGGAAAAATTACACTGATTCTCCTTGAGGTTTGTCAAAATTGCACCTCCCCTGCATTTTGAAAAATAACACCGACCTCCCATGAGTCAGATTCCCCATCCTGATAGGGGTCAGCGCAAATCAAATGTCAGCAAATGAAACACTTTAAATACCATGTTCCCCTGAAGAAGAGTACAAATACATAATTGCCCTCACTTATTGATTGGAAATGACTTTAATACCCTCCCTTTGACATAGTTAAAACGACTTATCTGCATTTATGTTTCTGAAATTTGTACTTCTGAAATGTTCCTATATATCTTCATGCTATTCTCATCTTGAAATGGAAGAAACCTAACAAGAAAGACATATCAGATAGCGCCAGAAAATCATAGACCATATATCGGCCTTTGACCGGACACACAATAAAGTCTTTGCTTTTGCCCTTGCTCAACCAAACGGTGGCCTTCTCAATGAACCAAATGTTGTTTCTCTTGTGCTTTCCACACTCAATCCTCCTCCCAAACTGACCACCACGGCTATCACCATTTGTCGCTGCCTTCCTCTTTTCTCTTTTCCTATATTAGAGTCTCATCCTAAGTGAAGTATTGACTGGTGGTGGTGCAGGCATCGACTGGTCGGAAATTGAGAGGTTTTAATGTTGGGGGTGGTAGCACCAGCGGCGACTGGTGGTGGTGCAGGCAGCGGTCGATGGTGCTGGTGTTGGTCGCAGTGACGGTGGCAATGTGAATCCAATGACTATTCATTTATATTGAATGCTTAAGACTCTTTGTTGTGCTTCCTTAGAAGAGTGTCCGACTATTCATTGGTGCCAGTTGACGAATTTGAAGTTGCAAATAAGTATATTAGTTTATCAACAAACTAACCCATGGGTGATTTAGAAAAGGTGTTCAATTTTCATTCCCAGTGAGGATCCAAATGAATGAATATATATATATATATATATATATATATATATATATATATATATATATATATAATTATTTATGTATATATATATATAATTATTTATGTATATATATATATAATTATTTATGTATATATATACATGTATATTTAGGGTTTTAAGATAGTACACCAAAGAAAACATGGTCTGTAACACGGGGTTTTTTGTCTTTTACATTTTTGTTGACTTGTCAATGAAAATAAATCAGGAAAATAAGCGCAAAATCTTCATTCATCATTAACACCGTCAATTTACATATGGAGGTCACTGTTATTTTTCAAAACACAGGAGGTTTTTCCCATTAATCTTACAAGTGCTATTTATCATGAGTGGGAAATCTAATGCTGTTATCTAAACAAGTCGTCGTCACATGGGATGACTTTTAAGGACTTAATCATTAGAGGAGTTTTAAGATGCTCAAAACTTGGTAAATGAAGATTAATTCAGCATTTCAACTAGTGACTGGCAGAAGTGAATAATTGTATTCCAATTGTACCTTTGCAGGAAGAGCTGGATAACCTGGCCAGTAATTTTCCTAACCGCTTTAAAGTTTACTATGTTCTGAATCAGGTATTATTTTTTTCTTTTTGCACCTTTGCTGTTAATATTTCTTTCTCCTGTCCTCTTCCCTTTGATGGAAGAAGCTTCATTTTTCGAAAAATAAAAATAAAAATAAAAATGATGAATGGTTGCTTACTCATATTCGGGCAAACCCAGTGAACAAGGCTGTTGCTTACCCATATTTGCTAAGAAAAAATATGCTATTAATACTGCTTGCTGTAGCGTTGAAAGTATTTCATAGTGTAGTATAACTGACAGAACTCACTACATTCTCTCAAATGCTTTAGAACATGTCCCTTCAATTGCAGACATCCATACCTGGTTAAACCTCGGGTCTCAATAGATTTCAAAGTCAAGTTTTTCATTTTATTACCAGGGAAAATATTTTAGGTACATCAAGGAGTAATTCTACACAATGTGATGCGAAGTATTTTTCTTGAAATAAATGGTTTCATTTTCATGAATATATCCTAACATGAAATATGATTCATTCTAAATGCTATGTGAAATTAGTCCCAAATAAGTTTTATGTACAATGTATCAGATCCCAGTCAAATGTACAGGAAATATGTGGGGGCTTGCCAATCCATTGTGATGTATGGTTAATAAGTGCTACATTGAGTGGTAAGCCCACCCCCAAAACAACAAAAAAAAAAAGGAGAGAGAGAGAGAGAGGGGGTAAACCAACAACAACAACAAAAGGAGAGTGAGAGGGGATAAACTACCGTGCTCTAAATTTTATGTAAATTTTTAAGTGAAGGAGGCTCCACTCATCACTAAACATACACCTCAAGTTCAAACAAAGGAAAAAATTCTCAATTTATTATTAGCTCTTAAAATTTCAGTGTTATTTAACAGCATCTTAATTGTTTCTGTATTTAGGTTTTCTTTACCATCTACCCAAATTTTTTCCATTTGGTTAGTAGTGTTTTTTATATTAACCTGCTTCATGTTACGACATTAGCCACCAGAAGTATGGAATGGTGGAGTTGGGTTCATATCCAAGGAGATGATTGAAGCCCACTGCCCTGCACCTGCTGCCGATGTTAAAGTATACCTCTCTCTCTCTCTCTCTCTCTCTCTCACACACACGTGCGCACGCACACACACACACTGTAGTTGACCACCTTGTTACCACGACTTAATTTATGTTTTTGCAGATATTAAGGTGCGGGCCACCACCCATGAACAAAGCAATGGCTGCTAACCTTGAAGCTCTTGAATACACTCCCCAAATGCAGTTCCAATTTTAAGCCATTTATACTCCTATCATTTTCCCCACTTCATTATATATGGCTAATAAGAACATACAATTCTATTGTTTCCCTTCAGTCCTGGTAAGACTACCAGTAACCTAAAGGGCCATAATTTAGCATTCTTCTTTTAGTTTGGAGAGAAGGTACCTATGCTGTCATTTCCATGGCAAAACAATTTCCACCAACTCCTTACAGTTTCAAATGGTTGGAATAGCTATTTTAGTTATTATTCAAGCACAAAGTTTTAATATGTTGAAGCTGCAATCATCGCTAACAATAAACTGCCCTGGTTTGGAGAAAATATATTTTTGTTTGATTGATATGACTGTACCCAGGACATGATATAGGCTGCCTATGTATCTTGTGTTCATGATTACGAAAATCAGATCGAACGTTGTTCACTTCGTCCTCAACGATTTTTGCTGCTTCTTTTCTAAAGGGTGGTCCACTTAGGGCCAGTAGCGTTTGTCCATTATATTCAAATTGACATTTGATCGATTGCCTATATTCCCACCCACATGTAAACCTTGTCTTTAGAAAATCACGAGAAACATTGTTGTTTGGGATGTTTAGTTGAGTTTGATTGATTAATAAGTTAGGACTTCACTTTGGGTTGTAATGGGGTATTATATGTGAGTGGTTTGAGGAGGAATGAGTTATAGCGAGCTCAAAATATACTGACTTTGGGTTGTAATGGGGTATTAGATGTGAGTGGTTTGAGGAGGAATGAGTTATAGCGAGCTCAAAATATACTGACTTCGACTGATGAAAGCCAATATTGGCTTGACCCTAATCTTCTAAGCACTAAAAAAAAATGCTGTTTGCCTTTTGAAAATAGGATCAAAACCAATATTAGGCTTGACCCTAGGAACCAAAAATGTACTCGTGTGCTGGTGTATTGTGGTGTGCACACAAGTGTACTGGAGTGTGTCAATATATGGGGGTGTGTGCATATGTATGTGTGGAATGCACGGCATTACGAGGGTGTGCATATGTGTACTGCGTGCATGAGGGAATATGCTAGAGAAAAAAGAAACAAGAAGAATAAAGGTGATGTACATGAGGGTGTGTATGTGCCTGTCGGTGTTAAATTATTTTTAGGGTTAAGTGCAAAAAACCCCCCTGAACTATGGGGGTTTTGCAACTAACCCCCCGGAATTACAAAAAACCCTTCTGAACTTTCAATTTGTTGCAATTTGCCCACTCTAGTGACCGGAAAAGAAAAAAAGACGAAGCTACCCTTCCTGTTAAACGACGTTGTTTGCTGATAATCTGAATTTCACTTACTGACATGGCAAACAAAATCTAACCAACCAATAAGATTGTGACACGTCTCTTATATCTTATATCTTAACCACCGACACAACAACCAAACCCTAACCACCTTCCTTTTTCACGGCAAACGCACAGAGAAAGCCATTTGATGTCGAACAATCCGAAACACCATAGAGAGCTTCTTGTTCCCATCGTCAACAACATATCCAGCAACTTCGATGACCGTGAGCACTTGGGAAAGTTTTTGGTCAAAATCATAAACTTGGGGGAAGACGAAGCCCTAACTTGGAGCGCATCGATTCTTGGCTTTCTGCTTCTCCAATTCCAAATGACATGTGCCCTTCAGTTAAGGAAACACACAAGGATGGTCAGAAACAGAAAAGCCCTAGCTTGTGAATGCGAGCTTAGCGGAGACTTTCTTCATTCTTTAGCAAAGGATAAGCTCCCATACGTAGAAGCGGGATTGAGCAGAAAGGGATCTCGTTCTCTCTCTATATATTATATCCACCTTATATAACATATATTACACACCCCCATCATCATCTTCAACCTAAACCGTCTCGGTATCCAAACATGACCTGATCTTTAATTTCTCTCTCTCTCTCTCTATATATATATATATATATATCAGAAGTTGGGTCAATACATCCTTGAGCAGCTTATGATTTGAAGAAAATTCCTTGATGAATCAAATTCTTAAGCTCTTGTATACACACCTGAAAATCCCTACTTCTTTAGAGCCCTAATTTCAGAAAATCCAAAAAAAATACTCCTTTAACATGTCAAAACATGAAAACATTAGGGGTTTCAGTCGATTAAAATGGTTAAGGCACCTCTAGACCTATTGCTTGAAGTCCATTGAATCCTTGCTTCCCCGCCGTAAGCCCTCTTTGCTGCGCCGACATTCTGGCCATCACTGTGGTCGCCTGTCCATTTTTGGTGGCTCATTCATGTCGTTCTCTCCACTGTGCTTACTGGACAGTCATTTCGTCAAGCTCGCTGCCATCGCCGGCCACACCCAGCTCGCGTGCGCACCGGTTAATTCTTATGCCACCGTCCTCTGCCATCGCTGGCGACACCCAGATCGCGTGCTCACCGGTAAAGCCATGTTTGGCTTTGTTGGTATAAGGAATGGGATATTGGGGCCTTAACTGTTGGAAATTAAGGGCACTCTTGTCCTTTCATGCTTCTAAGGGCAGTATCGTCATTTAAAAAAATTCACCTAAATTTAACGGCTATTTCTCACCGGACCTTGGCCGAATGGGGTGATCTGCAACTTTTTTACATAGTTCAGGGGGTTTCTTGCATTTTTGGAAGTTCAGGGGGTTAGTTACAAGTTTCCCCATAGTTCAGGCAGGTTTTTTGCACTTAATCCTTTATTTTATTACTACTATGTTTTTTGGTTTGCTTTTGCTTTCTTTGTTTTGGTTTTCATGTGGGCCCTACTTATACTTGTGCTTGGGTAGGTGCATGGTGTATGTGTGTTTTGGAGAGTGAGTTCATCACGTTTGTGCTGGTGGGTTTGCAGGAGAAGAGAGAGAGATTTATTGGTGAGGGTATTACCTTAGGTTTTCTACTAGGTTAGAGAGAAGAGAGATGGGTTTAGTGAGAGAAGGAAGTTTGAGGGTATATGACCCTGCCGATCTGAGATCGATAGGAAATGGTCTCTTTTATAGGGGAAAAAAGATGAGTATTGCCTTGTGGATAAAAGGATGGTGTTGGGTATTGTCTTTTGGGTAGATAGATGAATGCTTTTGTTTTTAGTTTTTTGGAAACAGAAACAACATCAAACAGTAGAGATACAATCATGCTCAGTGATACAAGCTATCTTAGCAAGGATATGATATACAAGATCATTCTCCAAAGGATGGTCTCTTATATGAAAATGTTGAATGAATTGATTTTGCTTTGAACACTAATTGAAGAGATATAGGGGTACATCTACTTCAACGGGAACAAATATCCTTAGGCCCAAACCATTTTATTTGGGCTTTGGTGGGTTAGTTTCCCAAGTCAACTCTTGTTTCTTCCTCAAAGTAGGCCCAGATACAAGCACTATTTAAGTTCCTTATCTCCCCACCTGCCCACGATGTCCTGAGAAACCAAGTATCCAATCTCTTGAACATTCTCCTAATAAGGCCAACCCCCCACCACCACCACCACTGCTGCCGCCAACAGACCCTAGATTGCGACTATGACTCACCAAAACAGGCAGGTCTGTTTACACATACTACAACTTTTGCACAAATTGAAAAACTGCTATATCATTTCCCATATATTTGAAACAAATTTTCAGAAATTAGGATAAATATAGTAGAAATCAGGGTTTTCTTTTTCCATTTGACAATAAAGTTGGGAAAATTATTGCAAATGCAAACTATGTTATATGGGTGTGTGGAGGGAAAAATCTCCTCCCACAACATCTTGACACGTAGGGGCAAAAAGACTCCTTAGTCACGAAGTGACACGTGTTCGCACCCCAAGGAAATAGCCCAGAACAGAAACGTTGACCAAAGGCAATGCTCAAGCCCAAGCTCGGTACCACGGTTCAATCTAGATTCCAAGAGAAGTTCAATTTGATCCAAAAGAAGCAAAGGATATGCCCAAACTTGTGTTCCAAGAAATAGGGTAAGACTACAGAAATACAAATATAAAAAGAAAGAGACCTCTGAAGAGGCATCTATAACTAGTGAGTGAGGTAGAGAGAAAAAAATCCTTTATACATTTACTTTAGCGCCGTCTTTGGGAAGCAAAAAGCTTTCTTGTTCAGTTTATGGTATAATTGTGACCGAGAACGATGATCGGACCGGAAGGCTCTCAACAGCTGGATGAGAACATGAGAAATCTCCAAAAAGAGCTCCGGTAGTAGATCAAGATCCTCTGCCGTGAGAATGCGGATCTTCGAGCGAGGGTGGAGCGAGCAAAGATTCCACCACCACTGCCTCCGCCAGTGGAGATTGTAGCTGCCGACAGTCATATTGAATGACCACTGGAATGGGTCGAATCTGTCCATATTGATTCGCTAGGGGACAGAGCAAACCTCGAGCGAAAGAGGGAAGGAGAAGAACAAGTAGAGACCAGTCGCCATACCATACAAAACTCAGTGGCAGATTAAGTGTTTGACGAAAATCCCAGACCAGATACGAGAGCTCAAGTCTAGAAAGAGGTAGGGAAACATATGAAAGACTTAAAGGCACTCAACCCTGCCGATCTTGCAGCCCAGGTATCGTCACGCATGATAGAGTTACCCTTCACCCAGGAGATCCTCCTATCAGAAAAGTTTATTATGCCTAACTTTGTGCCGTTTGATGGAACAAAGGACCTATTGGAACATGTGTATCTATTCCAACAGAAGATGGCACTAGACATGGGAGATGATGCTCTAATGTGTAAGGTTTTCCCCAAAAGCGTATCTGGAGCCGTATTCAGTTAGTTCAGACAGCTACCACAGGCTTCAATCTTGAGCTTCCAGAAACTCTGTGAGCTATTCATAGCTTAGTATTTCGGTAACCTAAGAATCAAGAAGACGGTATCAAGCCTGTTCACCATGAGACAATAGAGAGGAAAGAAATTACAAGTTTTTCTCACTCGATTCAACCTCGAGATAAGCATGATAGAAGGCTGCGATCCGATAGCAACGGTGGAGGCCTTCAAAATAGCGATGATCCAGGGTATAAAGTCCTACATCTCCTTAATAAAAAAGACCCCTTACAATATGGATGCTCTGAATTAGTGCACAAGGTTATCTATTGCTGGAAGAAGATAAAGATGTTTGACAGCAAAGGGCTACGATAGTTACTATAAGTGCCAAATACGCGAGAAGCTAAACAATTGCAAGGCAGCAGCCGATTGTGCACCTACTACGACCTGGCAACAAGATAAGAGGCAAAGGGTATAAGAAAGTATCATGTCATTGAGAACATCCCTAGCCAGGTTTTATCAAGAGAACAAGGGAAAATTTAGACCACCATAGCCGGTCAAGCCAGAGAGATCGAACCAAGCACTGCACCTTTCATAGTGACTTTGTCCATTGAATGAATGATTG